GGACCACATCATCCGCAAAAAGCAGGGATGTGATCCTAAGGCCACCAAAACGGATCCCCTCAACACGAAAGACCCCTTATGATGATGATCAACTCATTGTTATTAAACTAAATAACATTTTAGCTTCATCTTCAGAAATAAAATCAAACTTAATTAAAAACATCAAATTTCTGAATTTGAACCAGTTTTTTCTGATGTTACGATCTTTAAAGGTTGATTTCTTACAAAMGACTGTTTTAACGACAAATTTACAAAATAAAATCCTGATATTTAAAACGATTCACGGAGGAGGGACGTGTGGTTTGTCTCCTCATCGAGCTGCTTGTTTCACCTGGTCCAGGTGTCCCTGTCCCTCACCCTGTCCGTCCTCTGGTCCTCGTCTCCTGCGACATCTTTCTCTTTTTTTTTTGTTTTTGTTTTGTTCCCCCCCACACCTCCTCTTCCTCGTGTCGCTGTCAGAGCGTGTTATCTCTGCAGCAGAACCTCCTCTGTCTGTGATCGTCTGTGTTTGACGAACGCTCAGGTGTGAGATGGAGGACAGATGAGATTCTCCGCGGCTGAAATGTCACATTTCTAACTGATAATAAACAGGAAAAAAGGCAGTTTTTTTTCTCCTTTTTTTTTCAAATATCAGAGCCATCATCAGGAGACTCAGCAGGGTGGAAAATATCAGGTTTTTATTAGGTTTATGAGGAGAATATTCAACAGGAATTAAAATAAATCGTGTTTAAATTTTTAAAAATGTTGCCATTATCAATCTGTCTGTTAGCAAAATACTTACATTCACGTCAAACTTTGAAATATTAAGTTAGAGCTGGTTGAATTTAATTCAAGATGGCCGCCGAATTTCACGGTCATTTACGTATRATTTAGTCGGTTTTACTTATATTGAGACAAAATTTGGTGTGGTACATGAGTCATCCCCAAAAAAGGAGCTAAATTTTGCTAAAGTTAAAAATAGTGAAATGTTTTCTAAAAGTAGTGCTTTTCRTTGCATCGCAGTAGAAAAATCTCATTGGACAGATTTTAATAAGGGCGGCGGGTGATKATGTGTTTTTTAATTTTATTTTTCCTCGATCCTCCTCCCTCAGGGCTCGATGATTCTGGCCGTCAGACCATGCAGCCGCCTCCGTACCTGCCGGGGCCCCAGGACCCCAACGTGCCGCCTCACCCCGGCATGCCCACCGCGCCGGGAACTCAGCCCGGTTACCCAGCTCCACCTCCTCCCCCCGGCTCCGAAGGATATCTTCAGGAGACCCAGTTCAACTGCAGCCCCATGGGGGCGCAGGGAGCCCCACAGGGCTACACCATCCAGACCCAGGGCCCGGGGGCCAACGTGCCGCACCCCCCCGTGGGGTACATCCACCCGGGTTACCCCCTGCAACTGCAGCCCTGCACGGCCTACGTACCCGTCTACCCCATGGCTTCGGTGAGTCCGAAACAGACGCAAAAGTCCTGTTAAATCAATTATTTCCTCCTTCCTTTGCCTGTCCTGTGGTGTCAAGTGTTCAAGTAATTAACCCCTAATTTACAATAATTATACAGGAAGCTGATTTAGGAAATAATAAAAAATCAAGAAGCTTTAATGGCTTCCTTTGCTTTAAGTGGATCTCAGTTTGACTTTATTGTTTCCCAAAAGAGGCAAAAAAACTTTTTTTTTTTTTTTTTTACCAGAAATCAGTTTTGAGTCTGATGGAATAGAAAATGATTTTAAATACAGTTTATTTCTGAGTATTTACAGCGGGTAAAATAAGTATTGAACACGTCAACATTTTTCTCAGTAAATATATTACTAGAGGTGCTAATGA